TATACCGATTTCTATGATTATTTTTATTGAATAGATAATAATGTTAACTTTTTTTTAATTAGGGATGAGTGAGAGTGTTATAAACGTAAGAGTAGACAAATATAATCAAAAAGCTCCAAACTGCTAAGCTATCGGGAGTTACACGTGTTATTGTGTTAACCATAAAAGATAGACATATGCTGTCGTGGGATATTTTTTATTAAATTTTAAGGAGAACATTTCCGTTATACATGATTTCTGTGTAGCTTTAACCATTAAGGCTGCACACGCGACGGAAGCTTAAAAAATGGAGTAATTTCTTCCGTTTCCCCAACATTTCCCTTCACTGCTCTGCTCCTATTAATCGTAACGTGTACTGTAACCTGCCCAGGAGTATGAAGAATGTTTGTACCAAGTTTCGTTAAAATCCGTCGAGTAGTTTTTGTTTCTATAACGAACATACAGACAGAAAGACATACAAAAATTTTACTGTTTGCATTTTTGGCATCAGTATCGATCACTAATCACCCCCTGATAGTTATTTTGGAAATATACTTATTTCATGTACTTACAGAATTGACCTCTCTACAGATTTATTATAAGTATAGAAGATATATCAAGTTTTTCGATGTTTTTTATCATCATTTATATATATATATATATATATATATATATATATATATATATATATATATATATATATATATATATATATATATATTAAATACATACATACATAAGGAATAAATGAAACAAAGAAGTATAATAATCAAACATTACATTTATGTTATTTTAGGAAGTTTTACACCATTTATTTACACATTTAATTTTATCGAATAATTATCAGAAAACAAGAATTACTTAAATATTTTTTTTACTTTTACATTGATTTCTTTCGAATTGAATTTTAAAATAACAATTTCGACAACCTGGCGCCTAGTAAGTGGTTTCTCTCCTGGGTGATTGTAGATCCAGCCTCTGAAAATTACCGCTCACGGGATACAGAAGTTGCCACGATAGGCAAATAGATCTCATCTATGCTATGAAGCCCGGAAAATAACTCTTTCATGATATCCCACATGTAATATATGAAACTCGTCTTCTGTTTTAATTTTATTTCTTATGATGTGGTGCGTTAATTTTTTATGGTGGTTCCATAATATGTTACCTTCAGTATTATCGCATTTTCTGAATACATCTACGAAACTATACCGAAATGCAAACAGGTGAAGAACCGTTCATCCATAAAAATCAATATTTCAGAAAAATGATTGTAACGAAATACGAAGTACCGAGCCGATAAAATAATTTCCATAACAAAATAACTATAAGACTGTATTAAGCTATTAATTAAGTTAAAGCTCAAACAATATAATTATTAATAAGAAAATGAATGAAACAATTTCAATCCATTTTCATTATTTATAAACTTATACATATAAACTTATACACAATCACTACAATTAACAAAAATAACTACAAGTCTACATCCAAAATGGAATTACCGATAGAAGAAAATTGTACTTCTGAAATTCAAGTATATTTATTTTCGGTTGAAAGACCATTCGCCTGTTTGTTGATTCGTAATTAAAATTTTCGGGATTGAGTTATCTAAACTAATATTATAAAGAGGAAAGATTTGTTTGTTTGTTTGTTTGAATTGAATAGGCTCTGAAACTACTGAACCGATTTGAAAAATTCTTTCACCATTAGAATCCTACATTATTCCTGATGAACATAGGCTATAGAACGTTTTCAAAAAATTTAGGGATCCGTATGAAAACTTCGTTAATGTAACCCAAGGTGCGAAAAAAATACCAAAAAAAACCTTATATCGCGTACGCTGCGGAAACTATTGACAATAGAGCAAAGTGATGTGCTACAGTTTTATGGAGGACATCAATATCTACATAAAAGTCTGCAATACCATATGTCTTAACTATTATAGTTATCTCACAATAACTACTTTTCCATGTTAAAATATTCAATAGTAACGTCGAAAAATCCTTATATCGCGTACACTGCCAGCACCATGCGATGCGGGTGTCACTGGGGTGTGATATTAGAAATAAAAATAAAATAATCAAATATTAAAAAAGTACAAAAGATACGTAAAAATAATAAAAAAATCATTATCTATACATACATATATATATATATATATATATATATATATATATATATATATATATATATATATATATATATATATAATATTATAAAGAGGAAAGATGTTTTTGTTAGTTTGTACCAAATAAGTCCGAAACTACTGGACCGATTTTAATCAATTTTTACCAATAGAAAGCTAAATTATGGGGGGGGGGGGGGGGGTGAGTGGATAAAATTTAAATTTTCTGTATAACGTGTATATGCCGATAGATAAAAGTACTCCATTAATTTTGCTAATTTTTAGCTAAAATGATTGAACTAAATGAGCGAGGTGCCATATCATGTCGCGCGGCAGAGACGCGTAATATACGCGGGTGAAACCGCGGGGTACAGCTAGTTTCTGATAAATACTCGTAAACCTTCTAACTTTAAAAGTTTTGATGTTACCTTACTATGATATATTTTGTTTCGAATATTTATTTTTTTTGGCAACATAAAATTCGTGATAATCATCGTTCGTCGTCGTTCATCGTTTAACATACGGAATTTTACCCTGAATCAGGCTCCCTACGCCCTGATGAGTGAGTTAGTGTAATAGAGGTATTTATCCTCACGGATGATTTTGATTCATGATCGAGCATAGATGTAGATGTCTATGGGCTACAGCAACCTCTTACCATCAGGTGGACTGTGTGCTCGTTTGTTACCCTATCCTATAAAAAAGTTGTGTTAGTACCTAATTGCCTGGATATATTATTATCACAGAAATCTAAATATAAATAGAAGTCGTAAAAGCGCGTGACCTTGTCACCGCACATGTGACTCGTAGGCCACAAGAGCGCGAGGCGTGTTTGTTTCGGTCACCAGAGTACTGTTTCGGATGCAGAGGTGTAAAAATAGTGTTTTGAAGCATATCCAACTGCGGAAATTCCTCCACAACTAGCAAATTTTCAAATAAAAGGATAAAATTTCATAAATTTTTATTTTTTTTTCATTATTTTTTTAAATAATGTTGTGTTTAATGAAATATACTCGTACTTAAATAAAATTATCCACTTCCAGTACTACGATTGTCTCCAAAATTTTAATTGTTTTCACATTTTAATATCCATTGATTCCTAAGCTAGTTCATGTCTACGAGTGCGACAACTAAAATCAGCGATGGATTTATAGTATGGGCAATAAACAAAATTGTTGCGTACGTAAATTTCCCAGAACATGGCCGCAGGAGTCGAATGCGAGTCACTTACGTAACACAACTATTTTGTATCGATAATTTATTATGTTTGGCTTACCTCTTTTAACGAAAGAGGAATTAAATGTGATTTTTCGTTAAATATTTATTTACACCGTTTATCGGCGATTATCTGTTTGTTTGTACTTTTAAATTACTTGATATATTTTTAATCAGTAATATTGGAAGGATAGTAGTCTTAATTCGATCTGTAAGAAGCCGGGAAACTGAAAAGTAGCAAACAACAGAAAGTCAGTTACAGATCTTTAAAACTAATAAAAAATGATAAATATGTCACCCATACATATATTTATTCGTTTGCTGTTTGTATAATGTTGTATTCATTTTATTTATACATCTGTTTATTTAATACAATGTTTTTATTACAAGTTTCCAAAAGATCCGGTTATTAAAGATAAATGGATATATTTATTCTTAACGTATTATTATTTCTCCTTTTTTTCTAATTATAAAACGTCTAAAGGCTAAAACTAAGACTAAAAGCGTCTATTACTGAGGCAATTTCAGTTAATTAGTTATATCTTGGTGTGAGACTCCTGGAAGATCAACGACGCTTAATAGAAAGTTATCGAAACGTGCGTTGGGCTGCACTATGCCAAGGTGAAAGCGAGCGCGCAATGTCATTTTCTGTTTTTCGCACACTTTAATTTTTGGACCGAGTGGCTACGCCTCCTGAGATTTTGCGTTTTTATAAAATATTCCTTAACGCAATAGTTTATAGATTAATCTTTGTTGCGTAAATGCTAGAGATATTTGTAGGCGTAATTGTGTATTTATTGTGAGTCTATGTGTGATAGCTACGATCTGGCGACACGCGTCCCGATATTCAGACAGTGGAAGGCATTTCTATTTTCTTATTATTTAGATTTTTGTTATTATTATTATATATTATATATAATAATATAACAATTTTTATAAATTATCTACGTTATTTAAAATGAGGAAATTTAATTTCAATCAATGCAATACGTAGTGCATAAATAGGCTGTAACTAGGGCATGGAATACCGGAATAATTTTCATACCGGTATTGATACCGGTATTGAAATTACAATAACCGGTATACCGAAATTTCGGTATTATTTCGGTATTTTTAAATACTGCTAATAACTATTTAAATGATTCCAATAACGATTGTTAAAGTCTTGTTTGTGGAGAGCAATTAAAGCAATTTCCTACCCTATATGGCAGAAACACTGAAACTATTTATCAACTTTCTAGAATCCACAAAATGAGATAAAGGTAATTAAGAATAAAAAAGAAAACACGTTATTTGATCCAACAATTGTTTTTATATTGTTTCATTGGCACAAATATCACAATCGGTAATAAAATCAGTCTTACTATCTAATGATAAGAAAACATTTAAAAAATATCTTTCTTAGTCACAGTTTAAACTACGAATATGAACTATTGTTAAAACAAAATCAAATTGCAAATGAAAGTATCGAAAGTAATTAAATCAAAATGTAGGCGCAGGCTTAATTTTACTCAAGTATTCAAGTCCTTTAATCAGACAAATAGCGTTTGTTGCAAAATCGAACGAAGAAAACACAACGCGTCCAAACTGGCGTCGTTGAGTGATGATCTTATTTTTTTACAAACGTAACTTGCAGCTGAAAAGACCTTTTCTGATTCAACGCTCGTGTGAGGAATACTTAAGAATTAATTGTAAGCTGCATCGAAAACCTACCTCCCGTACCTCCATTTTCATACAATGTCATTTCAATTCGAATTAATGTTTGAATGTTATCTTCTTCTTCCTCGCCGATCTGGGATCTGTTTTGCTTTTTGGTCATAGATTTTTCTATTGATTTATTAAGTTCCTTCCCCATCACTGATGAAGTACTGCTATTAGTACCTGTGTCATCTTCACTTGTTTCCTTTTCACCAGAAGCATAAGCGGCAGCGGGTGAGCTCATCGCACTCCTGTTTTGTAGAGAGTTGAGAGTCTGTTCTTTCAATCGATGAATAAGTTCAGTAATTGACGTAATCATTTCATCACAACTCATTTTAGGAAACTCTGGATGGTTATCTTGGCGTGTCTCTGCAATTTCTTTGAAATATTCTTCTGGGTTATGAAGATACTGTAAAATTGTAGTCATAGGTTGTGTCGTCTTTCCGATATGCGCTTTCTTAGAGCTTCCGCCAGAGATTTAGATAAACTTGTTTTTTGGTTATTTAATTTTCGTAGCATATATTTAAGGGCAGCTTCTGCAGTTAAAAGTGTCGCATCTCGTCGGCAAAGTGCTTTCACTGTCATCTTGACTATTTTCGGGCTCTTTTGAATGGAATGCAGCAATTCAAACTCTTCTTGGGAAAACTTGACAGCAGAGTTTAAGTTTATCAGAGTATTTTCAATGCACGTCTTCAGTCGGTAAGTAGCCGGCAAAGATCAGTACGATATGCATACAGTGTCTTGCGTAGTTAATTTTGAGTTTATTTTTCTACAATCGAGATTATTCGTGATTGATGTCATATGAAAACTCATCAGCAGTATGAACAACAGTATGAACTGTAGAAATCGAGCGTTCTGTAGTATGTAAACAACCTTGCAAAAATAGATCACTTATTATGAAATACCGAAATACCGGTATTTTATCCTCAAATACCGGTCTTAAAAGTACCGAAAATTTTACCGGTATACCGGTATTTCGGTATACCGGTATACCGGTATCCATGCCCTAGCTGTAACGGTAACCGTAATATGTTTTTGATTGTTTGTGGTTATTAAAAATTAATTAATAATTAACACTCCATTAGTCGCGCGTTCTACTATTGTAGAACAGGCATGCATTTCGTGGGATTTTAACATTAATTGTGGGTGTCTAACGCACACACATAGTATTCCTCTATTACTAGCTGGTGATCACAATTAGTACCCTTTCGGCAAACTGCGCGATCGCACTTGTTAGAAATTTCGCACTAAAAATAAAATTCTACAATAGTAGAGCGCGCGAGCACTCGCGTGTCATTTTTTTCGGAAGTTTACCTATCGTTTTTATTTTATGTAAGTGTTTATATTATGTATAAATATTGTTATTATGAATTTTTTTGTTTGATAATATTATTTTTAACCGAAGTAACTATATTTCGCACAATGATGGCACATATTTTGAGATGGTTGGAAGAAATTATTACTGATGAAGCAACCAGCAAAGTATGGAATAAACATATTTGTACTAACGGATACAAAGGTACTTTATGCCTACCATATGGAAATATACGCAGGTGCTCAGCCAGATGGTCCTTATGCACAATCAAATAAAGTTGTGGACATTGTGCTACGAATGCTTACCCCATTGGATGGTTTAGGTTATAACGTCACAATGCACAATTGGTTCACGAATATACCTCAATGCTTAGAACTCTTAGGTAGCAAAATTACTGTCGTAGGCACTGTGAAGAAAGATAAGCCACAAATTCCCAAAGAATTCAAAATCACAAGAAACAGAAGCAAAACGAGTTAAATTTTTGGCTTTCAAAAACAAGGTACTTAGTATCTTACATGCCAAAATCAAAGAAAGTGGTGCTTATATACTCAACTATGCACTATGATGATCATATCGATTTTCAAACAGCAAACGTAAGCCGGAAATAATACCTTTTCACAACAATACCAAATATGGCGTGGACATTGTAGACAAAATTTGTAGTATTTATGACGTCTCCAAAAACTCTAGGCGATGGCCACTTACCATTTTTTTTTAATTTAATGAATATAAGTGCTATAAACGGTTATATTGTACATACAACAAACAAGGACTACAGAAATAAGGCCAGGAAGATTTTTTTTATGAATTTGGTTTTCACCTAGTCGCGCCATGCATACAACGCAGAATAAATATTGAAAGTATTCCAAAATCATTGAAAATGAAAGGGAAAATGCTTTTGGGCATGAAAGAGCCATCGGAATTACAACCATGCCCAGCACAACTCCCCAACACTGGTCGAGTCGGAAATGTTCCTTTTGTGGCAGAGCGCGCAATAAGTCCACTAGAAAACAATGTGACACCTGTAAAAAGTGGATTCGTCCTCAACATCAAGTTCTTCAATGCCTTGACTGTTGTAAAAATGATAAAGACTGTGTGGAAGATATGAGCGAGTAAAATAAGGAGACTGAGAAAGTTTGATGCCAAAAAATCATTGATTTTTCTCAAAATTCACAAAAAGTCTGATATTAAGTGCTTAATAAATGGTAACAGTTATGTTTCGTTTATTTTAGTTTCTTATTAAAGTTTGTTTTCATACGATATTGAAGTATTTTTATATTTGTTTATTGTTCCTGTAAAATCTTTACACAATGATTTCTTATATTTACGCGAACACTACACATTGAAATAATACTAATTTTTACTGAATTTATCGCGTATATTTAACTTTTTAAATACCCGACGTTTCGAACGTTTACAGCACTCATGGTCACGGGCGGGACTGAGATGTTCAACGTCCATATGTCATAGTTAACCGCGGTTACCATAGATTAAAATTTAACTTTTGTTCCGATCTATGCAGTATGAGCTTATGGTATCTTAAAGTCTTGCAGTTGTATCCTTGGGTTGGGATTTAATTTTATTTATTATAGGATCCCAAGCAGATGGTAGCACCCAGCCATCTTCTCTATTGAAATTAGGATGTTTTTTGATTTCAATAGCCTCGCGAATCATCCTTGGAAGGAATCGGTGTTCTTTAGCGAGGATTTGTGGTCTCCTCTAACATATGGTAGTACAGCAGGTACACGCTCGACTGTGGCCGGCTTCACTCGTTCACTGTGACGTAGGTGCGGGACTCGAAGCTTGTTGTCATGCAAAACTTGCTTGACATGGTGGAGCTCTGCAGCCAGGTGTTTACTGTCACAGATCCCTCGTGCTCTCTGAGACAAAGATTTACCCACGGTAGCTAACTGTGAGGGATGGTGGTGAGAATCACCGTTTAAATATCTATCTGTATGGGTCTTTTTTCTGTACACAGTATGGCTCAAGGTGTTATCAGTATTCCGAATTACTAACACATCTAGAAAAGCTAAGGAATTGTTTGCCTCTAACTCCATTGTGAACTGAATTTTAGAATTTATAGAGTTAAGATGGTCTAAAAACGCAGTTACTTTATTTAAAGGTAGAATTGTGAAAATGTCGTCTACGTACCGCTTGTAGAATCTTGGATTTATGGGAGAACTAAGCAGGGCTTTCTCCTCAAAGTCTTCCATGAATATGTCGGCGACAATATGAGATACAGGTGAGCCCATCGCCACACCATCTACTTGCTTGTAGAACTCCTCCTTCCACAATAGGTAGCCAGATGTAAGGCAGTGTCTGAGTAATACTGCATATTCTACGGGCATGTTGTTTTCTTCCAGCCTTCTAGTTACAATTGAGATGCAGTCTTCAACAGGTAAGCATGTAAACAATGACTGCACATCAAAACTGACCATAGTTTCATTTCTGCCAGATGTAGGTCTTTAATCTCGCTGACAAAATGGTAGGAATCCTTTATGTGTGCTCTTGTATGTCCTTTGAGCGTTGAGAGTATTTTCGCTAAGTGTTGAGCCAATCTGTACGTTGGTGAATCGATTTGGCTCAGTATGGGACGTAATGGAGCATTGGGCTTGTGTATTTTTGGTAACCCATACAATTTTGGTGATTTGGCGCACGTAGGTATTATCCATTTTACGTCCAGATTTAATTTTTCGGAGTGTTTCTTTATGTCACTAGTTGTTTTTAGTGTGCTATTTATTGGGTTCCGTAGTCAACTAGGAACCCTTATAGTTTCGCCATGTCTGTCTGTCCGTCTGTCCGTCCTCGCTTAATCTCTGTGACCGTTAGCACTAGAAATTTTTAGAATTTGGTACCAATATGTGTATCAATCACGCCGACAAAGTGGTAAGATAAAAATTGGAAAAAAATGTTTTATTAGGGTAGCCCCCCTATATGTAAAGTGGGAAGTGATTTTTTTTTTAATTTCAACCCTAACGTGTAATATATTGTTGCAAAGGTATTTAAAAATGAATAGGGGTTTACTAAAATCATTTTTTGATAATGTCAATAATTTCGGAAATAATCGCTCCAAAAGTAAAAAACAATGTGTCCCCCCCCCCCCCCATCTAACTTTGAACCACAAGTTTAGAAAATATGAAAAAAATCTGAAAAGTAGAACTTTATAAGGACTTTCTAGGAAAATCATTTTGAACTTGGATGGAAACAACAGTATCCTGTTACGGCCTCTAGTTACCCGGGCAAGGTCGTGGGACCCGGGCCCATCAGGGGTTCCACTCGACGAGTAACAGGAGGTCGGCCTAAATGGCTTGTGGAATATTACACGTTAGCGGTAAAAAGGGAACCAAACAAAACTTACCTATTTCTTCGAAGTAGGGTCAACCCTAGGAAGATTCAGGTGTAAGTGTGTGCGTGCTGTATTGTGTTGTGTTGTGTTATATTATGTAACCTGACTTCCCGCTGGTTGCAGAACCGCCGATCCCAAGGCTTCACCTCTATTCTTTATATCGAAGTGGCAGTCCGTCACAAAAATTTAAGAGTCTCGGAAATTATACTCGTTTCTCACTTGTTAATTGGAGTCAAGTCAATTATCATTAGGTTAATCCAATAAATTCCAACAAGATTTAACCGAACGCGCGTTACAACAAACTCGACATTTGTGAAAAATGCAATATCACCGGGCCGCGTTGCAAACAACTCAGGTTCGCGAAGTATAGGCGTCAGAGGCAGCGGGCGACTAAGCTATTAACACGACGCGCAACTACTCAGTTCCAAGCTCTGCGGCAAGTGACCCGCAAAACGCCGACGCCGGCGCGGCCGGACGCCGCACCAGCCCGCACCCCCCGCGCCTCAGCCGTCAGGCTCGCCTCCCGCTCGACCCGAGCGCCGACGCAGGCCGCCAAACGTTAAATTAGGCCTAAACAAGCCCCCGTCCCGGACATGAGGATCTAGGTCCGCGAGTAAATTGGCAAGCGGGATAGGGTAGAGACGGCACGTTGCAAAACCGAATCTCCAACCAAAACCTCGGCCACCCTAGGGATCCCATCCGGTCCATACGACAACTTGACAATGCGCCCACGGCGCCAATACAAGGGCGAGGCGTTAGGTTCTTT